TCGGGTAGGTCATTTCACCCCGAACGAGATTCTGCCCTTCGGCGGAACCTCGTCCGGGTTCCTTTCTGCTCAGAGGCAGAAAGTTCGACCGTCAAGTCGAGAAGCTCGGCTTGAATCAGTATCTAGCCACCCCCCCACGAGGGTTGCATGTGACACAAGGTCATTTTTATCGTGGGTTTTCCTGAGCCCGTAGGCTCAGCCAAAAATATGCCCGTATAACTCGTAAAAAACGAGATCGGGTAGGTCATTCACCCCGAACGAGATTCTGCCCTTCGGCGGAACCTCGTCGGGTTCCTTTCTGCTCAGAGGCAGAAAGTTCGACCGTCAAGTCGAGAAGCTCGGCTTGAATCAGTATCTAGCCCCCCCCCACGAGGGTTGCATGCGACACAAGGTCATTTTTATCGTGGGTTTCCTGAGCCCGTAGGCTCAGCCAAAAATATGCCCGTATAACTCGTAAAAAACGAGATCGGGTAGGTCATTTCACCCCGAACGAGATTCTGCCCTTCGGCGGAACCTCGTCCGGGTTCCTTTCTGCTCAGAGGCAGAAAGTTCGACCGTCAAGTCGAGAAGCTCGGCTTGATTCAGTATCTAGCCACCCCCCACGAGGGTTGCATGCGACACAAGGTCATTTTTATCGTGGGTTTCCTGAGCCCGTAGGCTCAGCCAAAAATATGCCCGTATGACTCGTAAAAACGAGATCGGGTAGGTCATTCACCCCGAACGAGATTCTGCCCTTCGGCGGAACCTCGTCCGGGTTCCTTTCTGCTCAGAGGCAGAAAGTTCGACCGTCAAGTCGAGAAGCTCGGCTTGAATCAGTATCTAGCCACCCCCCCACGAGGGTTGCATGCGACACAAGGTCATTTTTATCGTGGGTTTCCTGAGCCCGTAGGCTCAGCCAAAAAATATGCCCGTATGACTCGTAAAAACGAGATCGGGTAGGTCATTCACCCCGAACGAGATTCTGCCCTTCGGCGGAACCTCGTCCGGGTTCCTTTCTGCTCAGAGGCAGAAAGTTCGACCGTCAAGTCGAGAAGCTCGGCTTGAATCAGTATCTAGCCACCCCCACGAGGGTTGCATGCGACACAAGGTCATTTTTATCGTGGGTTTCCTGAGCCCGTAGGCTCAGCCAAAAAATATGCCCGTATGACTCGTAAAAACGAGATCGGGGTAGGTCATTCACCCCGAACGAGATTCTGCCCTTCGGCGGAACCTCGTCCGGGTTCCTTTCTGCTCAAAGGCAGAAAGTTCGACCGTCAAGTCGAGAAGCTCGGCTTGAATCAGTATCTAGCCACCCCCCACGAGGGTTGCATGCGACACAAGGTCATTTTTATCGTGGGTTTTCCTGAGCCCGTAGGCTCAGCCAAAAATATGCCCGTATAACTCGTAAAAAACGAGATCGGTTAGGTCATTCACCCCGAACGAGATTCTGCCCTTCGGCGGAACCTCGTCCGGGTTCCTTTCTGCTCAGAGGCAGAAAGTTCGACCGTCAAGTCGAGAAGCTCGGCTTGAATCAGTATCTAGCCACCCCCACGAGGGTTGCATGCGACACAAGGTCATTTTTATCGTGGGTTTCCTGAGCCCGTAGGCTCAGCCAAAAATATGCCCGTATAACTCGTAAAAACGAGATCGGGTAGGTCATTCACCCCGAACGAGATTCTGCCCTTCGGCGGAACCTCGTCCGGGTTCCTTTCTGCTCAAAGGCAGAGAGTTCGACCGTCAAGTCGAGAAGCTCGGCTTGAATCAGTATCTAGCCACCCCCCACGAGGGTTGCATGCGACACAAGGTCATTTTTATCGTGGGTTTCCTGAGCCCGTAGGCTCAAAAAAAAAAATATGCCCGTATGACTCGTAAAAACGAGATCGGGTAGGTCATTTACCCCGAACGAGATTCTGCCCTTCGGCGGAACCTCGTCCGGGTTCCTTTCTGCTCAAAGGCAGAAAGTTCGACCGTCAAGTCGAGAAGCTCGGCTTGAATCAGTATCTAGCCACCCCCCACGAGGGTTGCATGCGACACAAGGTCATTTTTATCGTGGGTTTCCTGAGCCCGTAGGCTCAGCCAAAAAATATGCCCGTATAACTCGTAAAAAACGAGATCGGGTAGGTCATTCACCCCGAACGAGATTCTGCCCTTCGGCGGAACCTCGTCCGGGTTCCTTTCTGCTCAAAGGCAGAAAGTTCGACCGTCAAGTCGAGAAGCTCGGCTTGAATCAGTATCTAGCCACACCCCCACGAGGGTTGCATGCGACACAAGGTCATTTTTATCGTGGGTTTCCTGAGCCCGTAGGCTCAGCCAAAAATATGCCCGTATGACTCGTAAAAACGAGATCGGGTAGGTCATTTCACCCCGAACGAGATTCTGCCCTTCGGCGGAACCTCGTCCGGGTTCCTTTCTGCTCAGAGGCAGAAAGTTCGACCGTCAAGTCGAGAAGCTCGGCTTGATTCAGTATCTAGCCGCCCCCCGCACGAGGGTTGCATGCGACACAAGGTCATTTTTATCGTGGGTTTCCTGAGCCCGTAGGCTCAGCCAAAAATATGCCCGTATGACTCGTAAAAAAAAAAACGAGATCGGGTAGGTCATTTCGACCCCGAACGAGATTCTGCCCTTCGGCGGAACCTCGTCCGGGTTCCTTTCTGCTCAAAGGCAGAGAGTTCGACCGTCGGGTTCCTTTTCGAGAAGTTCGGCTTGAATCAGTAGAATCTAGCCACCCCCACGAGGGTTGCATGCGACACAAGGTTTTTTATCGTGGGTTTCCCTGAGCCCGTAGGCTCAGCCAAAAAAATGCCCGAGTTATAACTCGTAAAAACGAGATCGGGTAGGTCATTTTCACCCCGAACGAGATTCTGCCTTCGGCGGAACCTCGTCCGGGTTCCCTTTCTGCTCAAAGGCAGAGAGTTCGACCGTCAAGTCGAGAAGCTCGGCTTTTGAATCAAAAGTATTTAGCCACCCCCCAAAGAGGGTTGCATGCGACACGAAAAATATTTTTTATCGTGGGTTTCCTGTAAATTAGGCTCAGCCAAAAATATATGCCCGTATAACAGAAAAAAACGAGATAATGAAAATTTACCAAGAACGAGATTTCTGCCCTTCGGCGGAACCTCGTCCGGGTTCCTTTCTGCTCAGAGGCAGAGAGTTCGACCGTCAAGTCGAGAAAAAAATTTAAAGCCATTAACGAGTTTGCATACACAAGGTCATTTTATCGTGGAGTTCATTAAAATAGGCTCAGCCAAAAATGCCCATATGACTCGTAAAAAACGAGATCAGGTCATTTACTGAACGAGATTTGCCCTTCGGCGGAACCTCGTTTGGGTTTTTGCCCAGAGGCAGAAAGCGATATTTAGATAGATGAATCGTCATTTTTATCTTGAGAGTTGCATGCAAAAGTCACTGGGTCAATACGTGGATAAAAAGAAAATGAATTAAAAATAATCATATAAGGACCCTGAACGAAAGATAAAATGCTCAGAAAATAGATTAACTAATTAAATATAACAATAAATAATAAAAAAAATCATTCTGGGTTAAATAAGGACCCAATTTACAAAAACACATATAATTGTATAGATTCAGGATTAAAAAATTTTAAACCTAAATATATCAATTCAAACGTAATTGTATAATGTGATGGAAATTTTATTTTGGCGGTTCATTTTTGCAATAAGGCCGTAAAGAGAGGCAAAATGTCCATGTTTTATCCTACAGCTCTGGGTTAAATAGCAGGGCCAACTGTGCTCTCTAGCTTTGTTTAGGAATCGGTCTAGAAGTCGACACTGATTACAAGACTGATTAGTTGTTAGAACTAGAAACACTACTTAGCTGCATGGTAATGAAATCATAGGAACACTGGTGTCGCAGATGATATAGATTATGAACACAGTTTAAATTTTTTTTATGCCATAAAAATAATTGTTTAACATGAAACGAATAAAAAACACCAAACGGCCTTTGAACATAAAAAATTGGAACTTAATTTAATATCAAGTTCTTTACATTGAGAAACTAAGGTACAAAGATAAAAATTGTTGGCATTTATTTTTTCAATACTTTTTCTGGTACAGATAAAAAAGCGATCCTTTTAAAATATCTGCAAACTGAAAAAATCCTTAAAACTTTTTTGAAACCTGAATCCTGAAACCATCTATTTCACGCGCCTCGTTCTGACATCCATTCACATGAACTCGTCAGGTATGTGGTCCGCTACCACTCGTTGTCTCTTTTTGTCTTCGATATGAAGAGTCATATTGTCGAAAGTCCAAAATCTATTCATAGAAATTTCGGCCAAGCATGTTCATCTTAGTTGTTATGCTCACAACGTTTCAGCCGTTACCCTCTTGTCTTCATCAGCTATGTTTAAAAAACTTTTATTCAATTTACAGCTGTTGAGCAATTTTTCTCATTCCGTTTTTAAGCGTTATCAGTGATTCATTTTCTACGGCTTATCAACCATTTGAAGATTATTTAAATCCAGAAAATGTTTTGAGTTTGTACGATCTTTTTTTTTATATATAATAAAGATTTAGTGATACAAGTCTTAATAATTAACCCATAGCTGGTGGGAGAACAGGTGGATTCATACCTTTCCTTAGGTTATTTATTCCGTAGTATTTTGAATATAACTAATATATATATTTTAGAACTTATTCTCCGATTTACATTTCAGAGCCATTATCCATCACAATATCCGCAAATCCAAGCTTACAACACTTGATATGCCTAAGAGTTCACCCATCTAGATACTGAGCAGGATCGAATTTGCTTAACTTCGATAAATGTGATGTGGCCGTAAGCACACATTAGGAGGGCAATTAGGGTAGGCGATGTATTTTACTTGTATTTATGTGATGGTTGTGGTTGAGTTAGACGTAAGTTACTATTAGGTATTAGTGTATCTGACTTACTTACAAATGTTGCGATGGCTACGAGTAAAGTGAGTAGGTTTCATTGTAATTTTTCTTGATGGTAAGGGCCACGGACGTTCGTGGAAAGGGTCGGTTGGTGGAAGCATGGTAAGCGCAAAAGCGGGGGAAAAAGAACTGATACGAACGAATATGCCAATACTTGCCCGAAGGGACTTTCTTATTATTACTGAAACTTCGCTTAGTGGTCTTTCTTTACTCCCAACACCAGTCACTTCTTAGTTTTATAGCGTGTGTCCGAGAGCGGTTGGGGTTCTCAGGAGAGAACGCGACTTTTAGGTCACCAATATAAATGATATCGATCAGCGAGGTGGAGGAGAGGAAGGCGATTGGGAATTCAGCGTTCGATATGATTGGTCACGCAGCAAGTCGGGGGTCTGAGATACAGTAGAGTTTGAGGCTACGCAGCCTACTGTTATCGTTGTTGTTGCTGTTATTGGAGACGGGTTCTAGGCTATAGTACTTTAGCTCTACCCCGGGCCGCAGTGAGGCTACTTTCTGACAGAAACACCGTTTTGTTAATAGAATCTATCTATTCCGTGCGTCTCTTTTCTCGAACGTGATTCACAGGCCTGGAAAGGTGTCGGCAAGTGTGTCGTATATATATATATATATATATATATATATATATATATATATATATATGTTTGTGTGTGTATTTATGTATAAGAAGAAAAAAAGCAAGTATGTGGGTCGATATTAATCAGTAGTATTTGCAGTAGACAGATAAGAAACGGTAAATAATTGGCGAATCGATTGTAGAGTTTGGGATGACTGTCACATTGTAGTTTAATAGAGAAGTATTTTACACGCACATACACACACACACACGTACGCACACAAATGGAATTTTTAGATCTCATCGTCTTCGATGTATGAATGTCCGGCATCTCAGGTCTTAGAACCGAACAGCCAGATTACCCGCTTCTATGATTTGATTATTGCAGTAAAGACTTGTGCAGAAACAACCACGCTTTTCGGAGAAAAACAAAACAAAAACAAAACATGTACAGAGAACTAGACAGAGAATATAGTGTGCCACAAGGTCGCCAAACGACCCCCTCATGTTTTGAATTCAGTTTTATTTCTCTCAGACTAATTGCTGACCAAGGCTAAAGTTCCCAATCTAGCCTATTATTTAACCCGTAGCTAAGAGGAAACGGAAAGATACAGTCATAACTTCCGCAATGGTAATGCCTAAGTGAATATAACTAACTCGCCTCTTTGATTTTTCATTCAGGGCTGCTATACATTACACCACCCCAACATCCAAAAATCTCTCTGACTCATCACCCCTCTCTCTCTCTTTCACCCCTCTCTCTCTCCCCTCTCTCTCTCTCTCTCTCTCTCTGTCCTCTCTCTCTCCTCACCCCTCTCTCTCTCTCTCCTCCCCTTTCCTCCTCTCTGTCTCTTTCTTATCTCAATACTCTGTCCTCAAACTCCTCCCCTCTCTTCCTCATTCTCTCTGTCTCTGTCTGTCTGTCTGTCTCTCTCTCTCTCTCTCTAGGATATAATATATATATATATATATATATGTCTGTGTGTGTGTGAGCGTGTTTGTGTAAAATTTCAAATAGAATATATCTGTAGAAGGACAATAGGAATAAATACAAAATGAAAAAATTATCTTATTCAAATTTTCGTCCTATTTGAGTGCATTTGCCCTGAAATGTCCCTCCCTTTTGATTTTCTTTCTTTCTTTGTGCATTTCTTTCTTTCTTTCTTTCTTTCTTTCTTACTTTCTTTCTTTCTTTCTATCATTGTGCGTTTCTTTCTTTCTTTCTTTCTTTCTTTCAGCAGTGTAACGATCTTTTAAACACTAGTTACTTTGTATTTTTTGCTTATAAATTTTAATATTTTTGCAAAGAATTAACTTATATTTACCTATTTTAGCTCAGTCAAACATTGGTATGTAATGGAAAGGGGAAAGCACGGTGGCGCCAATATTCCAAATGATTGTCTCTACTCGAATTCCTCATTCGACTTTCAGATATCTACTATCTTACGGTGATTACAACATCAACTAAATACTATAGATGGCAAGGAATCGTGCTGCGTCAATTTTCCAAATAGAGAAGTTAAAGCATCTCATCAGAGATCATTTGTTTTTCTAATTGTTATGGCGAGCCCACATAGGAAAGGCTGAGCCTCAAAGGTGAGGCAATTTCATAGGAAAAGCTTTAGCCTCATAGGTGTAGAAGCCTAATGTGTGCGGCGAGGCTCATAGGTGATGCGAGCCACATAGGTGCGGTAAGCCACATAGGGGCGGTGAACCTCATAGGTGAGGCGAGCCTCAATTTCAGTAAGCCACATGGGATTAGTGACAATCATAACAACGGCGAGCGTCAAAGGTTCGGCGTGCCTCAAAAATACTTTGGCCTCATTAGGTGGCGCTGAGCCTCAAGGGCGCAGCGAGCCTCCAAGGTGAGGCGAGCCTCATAGGTGCGGTGAGTCTTATAGGTGCGGCGAGCCTCATAGGTGTGGTGAGCCTTATAGGTGCGGCGAGCCTCATAGGTGAGGCGAGCCTCATAGGTGCGGCGTGCCTCAAATTTTGGTTAAAAATCTTGTTTTCTTGCTTCAGCAGGTTGAACAAAGATTAGTATAAGAAATTTTAGCGTCTTTTTTGCAGTGAAAAAAGTCGTTGATTTGGAAATACTTTTCAAAATCAAATACTTGTTTTTTTAATGAAATTTTCAAGACTTATTCACAAATGAATCAAATTATTTTAGAAATGATCTTTTTTTTTTTAGAAAACATTGGTAGAAACCTTTTTACATCTGTTACCCAACTCTCATTTTATGAAATTTCAAGAAATTGATTTTTGTGCCGGTTAATGTTCATATTAATCATATGTAGAACACCTTAAAGAATTTAAATTATCATTTTTTTTCGTAAATCAAGACCCCCAGGTTACCGAAAATCTGTTGTACATCATAAAATAAAAATGCAATAAAACTAAGACATTATTCAATTAGAAAAGCTTTTAATTGGTTTTGTGAATGAGATATATTATTGCCTTAAGGAAAAAAAATCAATGAATAATGAATTTTTACGCGAATTGTTTTTATATTACAAAAAGAAATTATTTATAACGTTTTAAATCTTTTAAATTTCTGTATTAATTTGTAACAGTCAGGTAATAGTGTAATTTTTTAAATTGGTTTTAATCGGTATCACCCCATGCAAAGCGGTACAGCCATGCAAGGAGTTACAGGGTATGGATAAATTAGGAAGAGAAACATTAGTAATGAGGAGAAAGAAAAGAGCACTCAGGAGAACTGTAGATAGCGATTAAAATTGCATTTAAATTTTGCAGATTAAAGATGGCTGAAAAGCATGGAGACGAGAGAGAATTCCACAGGCGAGAAGTGTGAGATTAGAAACAGCATAGAATTTACAGCTACATCTAGCAAGCTCAACTGTAAATTGATGAGCTCTCGCCGCCAGACTAGTATTGCGCTTAAATTCATACAGTCTACGTACCATAGCGAAAAGCTGATCCAAGGAATTACTATGAAAGTATTTATAAAAAAGGCACAGTGAAACAACCTTATGGCGGTATGAAATTGACTGACGCTGAGCCGCCAGATCAGGACCAATAATATTGCTGATTCTTTTTTGGATATTATCGAGAATCTCCATGAAAATAGTAAGGGCACCGGACCATATATGGCTGCAATATTCTAAGTATGGACGAATGGTAGATTTATAGATATGCAAGGTAGATCCCAGAGAGAAAAATTGTCTTACTCTACACAGTGAACCGATTTTGTTAGCAGGTGATCTGGCAATGGAGAAAGGAAGTTATTTTCCACCTCAAAAGCTGAGAACTTTAGCCCGTGAAGGCGCAATGAGTCACTTTCTTGGAGGTTAGCATCAGTCATACTGATGGAAAGCAGAGAGGAGTCTCTCAGATGATTAATGGAGAGTTTAGTTTTGGAGGCGTTAAAATTGACAAGCCATCATTTATTTAATAAAACGAAAAAAAATTTTGAAGATTCTTCGCGTCATTTTGATCTTAACAGACTAATCGGCCTAATTATCGAATTAATGTAAATGGTTGTTCGTCAGCGTAGATGCCAAGTTAAGATCTGATGCCATCGGGAAGGTCGTTAATGAAGATTAAAAACAAAGATGGAGCCCTGGTTGGGGGGGGGGCACCCGCGTTAGTACGAAAGGATGGAGACGAATTGCCATTCAAGACTACTTTCATTTCATGATTTGATAGGAACGACTAGATCAGCTCAAAAACACCCGGAGATACCAAAGTTTTAAACTTGTTGAGAAGACCTGAATGCCAGACCCTATGAATGAATTTCGAGATGTCCAATGCTTGACCGTTTTTATCTAAAGCTCGATAAATACTTTTCGCGTTATCGTTGGTCTGGGGGAGTTGGCAGAAACACAAAACCTGTTGAGAGACACAAGGTTTAGTGGGGAATAGAGAGCCATGATCGCCTAAGTCCTGAAAAGACACTGCACATAAAAAAGAGAGACGATATCATACCTCGATATTCGGTGGAGAAACCAAAACAGCACTCCAACAACCCACTCTACCTTTTAATATATATACCGTTAATCATCTTGCCTGAAATCAATTAAACGCCCACTTGTTTTGCGTGATATATTTCGGCTTTTAAATAGCCGCATATTGTTACTCCCAGACGATAATCGTAAAAGATTGTACGCTATACAATCTTTTACATTCGTTTGGTTTTATACCACATTAAATTAAGTTTAATAAAAAAAAAAGAACTAGAATTGCGTTGGCTGATATTTAAATATAGTAAAATAAAGCGAGAAAAAAGGACTATCAGTTGTAAGAACACAGGGCGTAGAGGGCTGTAAGATGGCTATAAGAGAGTTATCAGTTGTGAGAGGACAGGCCGCAGAGGGTTGTAAGAGGACAATCAGTTTTAAGAACACAGGCTGTAGAGGGCTGTAAGAGGGCTATCAGTTGTAAGAAGACAAGGCGTAGAGAGCTGTAAGAGTTCTATCATTTGTATGAAGACAGGGCGTAGAAGGCAGTCCAAAAGTCGAGCTACGAACCATAGATGTCAGCATCAAACAAGTACAGATGTTTATCTGTCAAATGTTTTAACAGATGACGGAAAATGTGACACAGAAATACGACATTCCTTCACCTACATTCCCCACGTATTCCATCGGTGAGAAGTAAGTTCTACTCCTGTAGCTTCTTCTCTTCATGACGTACTTAGTCGAACGCCTTTGCGTAATCTGTAAAACACATAACATGTCCTTCTGCCTTTGTATTGCTCTTTCTGATAACATTCTTCACTTTTCCGGTGTCTTTGACGAACCTACCGTATTCTTGTCTTATCTCGGGTCTGATTCTGCTGCGCGCTCCATTCATCAGAATTCGGATGATGAGTTTTGTTATGTGGCTCATTAGGCTGATTTTTCGGTGGCGCTCGCCTTCCTTCGCGGCTAGTTTCTTAGGCAGTGCTATAAAAATAGATCTGCTTAGATCTTCCGATATGTCACTACAGTTGTAGATTTCTGTTGAGGGATTCTCCCCTTTTTACACAAATGGACTCACCCAGTATATACATATACTACGGCTACGTGAAGACCTGAGTGAGCGAGACGAGCGAGCAAGACCGAAGAGTCGAATTGAGTCCAGAGTGACAGAGTAAAAGGTTGTAGGTAACCGGAAGAGTGAGGGTGAGGCGTTGTAGGAGTCACAATGAAAGAGCACGTAGACTCAGTAAGAAGTCATACAGCGATACTTCAATATCAAAGACTGTATAGATATTTTGCTACTAACCCGTATTCCTGGAACTACTAACCTGCTTTACCAGTTTGTATTGTTACGTTAATACATTTTTTCATATATTCATTCCTGGCGTTTGTTATTTATTGGTACCGGATTTCAACCCGGAATCCACAACAATTTCTTTTATTATTTCTATGATCGTGTCTATGCTGAAATCATCTGAAAGCTGCCAGCATCTTTACTACAATTCCGCCTTACCCTGCCACTTTGTTTCTGTTCAATTTGGCCAGTGCAGCTTCCACTTCTGTTTTTAATATTTCCAGGCCGTCGATATTTCTGTGTATTTCTTTCTTTAATATCAGCGTTCCGTCCTCGGATTTTCTTCAGCTTGTTGATGGACATGTCTATTGTCTTATTAGTTCTCTTATTTTTTACGCATATTTTCTTTATCTATGATACTTGTTCTTTCTATTTCGGCACATTTTTCGTTGAGCAAGTCTTCTTTATCTGTCTATATTCCTGAAATGAGGTATTAGGCACACTGTTTACATTATTCGGACTCTTTTCCTCATCTGTGTTGCCATATTGTTGGCACAGTGGATAAAGACATTGTTTAGATCCAGTGACAGGACCCAAACAGCTGTGAGGTCAATACCTGGTTAAGGCAGTGGAGAACTTGGAGAGGGTAATTAACAGGAGATAACTGACGTCCACTAGATATGACACATTGGGCTAGAAAAGTCTATCCCAGTGAGCGAAATAAAGGGTTCAGTTCGACATTCTAACCACCGGAGCGTTGTGATAAATATGTGATAAATATGGCAACAGAGATGAGGACAATAGTCCGAATAATGTCAACCATGTTAAAGAGACATGATCACCGAAGCGTACTTCATGCATGGCACTTAAAGAAGGATTAAGTAAAAAGGGTAACTAAACAAGGAACCAACAAATATGGCATGTAATGAAGGACTCAGAAAAATTAGCTGAAGAAGGCCGGAGCGTACATAAGCCGAAACGTTGTGATAAATATGGCAGCAAAGATGAGGAAAATAGTCCGAATAATGTAAATAGTAATT